AGGCTACGTAATCTGCCTAAGGCCACCCAGCTGGTCGGTGGCAGAGCTCAGACTTAAACTCAGGCACTCGGATGCTGGAGCCCTCCTGCTTCACCCTGAGCCTTCTAAATACAAAACCTCGGATGCTCTTTAGAAAGGAAAATGAGACATTTGCATTTTCGTAAAGAAAGAAGGACCCAGCATTCCCAGGGAGGGGGTCGGAATGCTCGACAGGCTGACCGGAAAGTTCCTCTCCCCTCCTTAGGTCATGGTGTGGCTTCCGGGGGGTGCCTTCCAGACTGGCTCAGCCTCCATCTTCGATGGGTCCGCCCTCGCTGCCTACGAGGATGTGCTGGTTGTGACTACCCAGTACCGGCTAGGAATGTTTGGCTTCTTCAAGTGAGTACCCCCAAATGATTGACACCCCTGGTCCCCAAGGGGCAGCTGTGCAGCAGCCATAGGGGATTCAGTGCCCAGCATCCTAAGGAGGAGCCTTCAAGGACATTGAACACATTTGGACCAGATTATTAGGTAATTTTAGCAACTATGACAGATAATCCCTTACGTATTAGTGGCTTAGAGAAATAAACATTTTTTCTGACTTCAGTAAAATCTAATTGAGGGTTCCTAACTGACAGACATCCTTCCACAGCGTCAGTCAGGGACCCAGGCTCCTTCCACCTGTGGCTCTGCATCTGGCCAGCAGGTGGAGAAAGAGATTAGAGGAGGGTGTGAGGGCCGGCTTTCTGGGTCAGCCTGGAGGTGGCGATCATCACTGCTGTTTACACACCATTGGCAGAACTCAGTCACATGGCCATGCCCAATACAAGGGAGATGGCGCAACATAACCCTGGAAGTCAAGGACACAGAGTGTGTGAGCCATTAGTCGTCCCTGACATAGGGCCCCATCTCAAGGCTCCTCAAATGCTCACCTGAAAATAGTCACTCCATTGCATTGTCTTCCCATCCCATTAACTGTCCACCCATCCTGGGAAGCATGTTCTCTGCATGAGCTGCACGCAGCATGGGGCCATGGCCAGGACCATAGACTCTGGGGGTCAGACTCATTGGGTTTGAATCCCAAATCTGCAGCATTTTAGGTCCTGGGCAAGGGATTTGCTCTCTGTGTGTCCTGATTCCCTGTCTGTGAGAAGGAGCCGATGTATCCAGCAGTATCCTTAGGGCTTGTTTGCAGGTTTCATTGAAGGGAATTCGTGTGAGCGACGCCTCAGAAAAATGCAGCCACTGCCCAAACCACTTTGCAGCAGAGGGGGCCTCAAGTGGCGTATAAAACATAAACATACTGGTCTCTTGATATCCCACCCTCAGCCCCTGCTCCTTGCCTCCCACTGACCGCACACATAGAGGTCAGCCTTTTAGGAGGAGGGTAGAGAAGGTGGGGATAAAACTCAGAGGGGCAGACAGAGAAAGACCAGCACCATCTACCTCACAGGTTTGGAGGGTTACGGGAGCATCAGACGTAAAGCCCTTAGGACAGTGTCATGCGCAGTGCTGCCGCCACTGTTATTGTTGTTATTATTCACTTAGTCATTCACGGGAACCTCTGTGCCCAGGCAGGTCTCACTCCCTGGTGCAGACCAGCTCTCAGGAGCAGGACTCTTCTGGAACCCATGGATTCAGAGGAGCCTGTGCATACCCTGAAATTGCACTTACGACATTGTGCATTTTTCTGGGGTGTGTCACTCTCCTCAGATTCTCAAACCAAAACCCCAGCAGAGGGAGAGAGCCAAGCCTGGTGCTCCCCCCTGCCCCAGGTCTGATTCTCAGCCCTTCTCCGGAGGGAGTGGTGATGCCCTGACACCTGTCCACAGCCTCGGCCGCCAGCTCCCTGGGCTTCGGGAGGTAGACAGTGGCCCACTCAGGATGCTCATTCCGCCTCTTGCCCCCAGCACAGGGGACAAGCACGCGCCGGGGAACTGGGCCTTCATGGACCAGCTGGCCGCCCTGACCTGGGTCCAGGAGAACATCGAGTTCTTTGGTGGGGACCCACGCTCCGTGACCATCTTCGGCGAGTCGGCGGGAGCCATAAGTGTGTCCAGCCTTGTGAGTTCTCTTCGGTGGGGGAGGTTACAAAAAAGAGGATGATGAACCACCTACATCTGATTGGTGCTTCATGTTGAACAAACGCTTTCAGACCCACGGTCTCCCTGGAGCCTCACGCCATGAGTCAGGGGCTCCGTCTCGTTTTAAGGACGAGAGCTGTCGTCGGAGCGTTTACATGAATCATCCAAGATCACATAGTGAGCGACAGTTTGAGGAAAACGCATTTGTGTGTGTAAAGTTGAAGGCCTGGCATCCAGTTATCAGGACTGGTCATCATTGAATAGAGAAGCTTAGCTAAAAGCATCAAATAGCAAAGGATGCATGTAAACATTTTATTTTCACTTAAAACATAAAAGGGCCCTAACCGGTTTGACTCAGTGGATAGAGCGTCAGTCTACAGACTGAAAAGTCCCAGGTTCGATTCCAGTCAAGGGCATGTACCTTGGTTGTGGGCACATCCCCAGTGGGAGGTGTGCACGAGGCAGCTGATTGATGTTTCTCTCTCATCGATGTTTCTAACTCTCTATCCCTCTCCCTTTCTCTCTGTAAAAAATCAATAAAATATATTTTATAAAACAAACAAACAAAACAAAACATAAAAGGCACCCTCCTTCACCAGTAGTTTGATGCGGGGTCTTACTTTCCAGAGTCAGTCTGCCGACTGGTGGTCCAACAAGGCTCTCCTGCATAAACCCCCCACGGGATCCATTGCCCTTACATTGGGGGTTCAGTGTCCTTTCGGTGAGCACCCACTTAAAGGTGCTGCAAAGAAATCTGTGGATGCAGCCCTCTTATGGAGCTTTCTATCCCCTCACATGGTTTACTCTTATCTTGTTCCCCCCTCATTTGATAGCCATGTATTTAGCTACCTACCTCTATCAAGTTACCCCCCCCCAAAAAAAACCCCCACATTGTTTTGTTTTCTTTTTACACACACACATCCATTGGTTCCCAAGATAGTTCTCTGGTTATGTAATGACAATGTCAAGTGTAACTGACAAAGCAGATTTGGAAGCAGACACACCTGGCTCATGGCAAGAAATTGCTGGGAAGAGAGATGTGCATAGGGGCCGGGATACGGCTCCGGGCTCTGCGTTCTGAGTGGTCAGTACTTCCCGGGCATCAGGTAACATGTTAACCACAGAAGTCAGTCGCATGGAGGTGGTTAAGCTTCTGCTGTATAACATTTGACAATATGCAAGGTATTCTTTACCTTCCGTATAACCTTATACGGTGGATTATACTAACTTTACATATGTGGTAGCAGCCACTGTTCATGAGTGCTTATTACTTAACCAAGTGCTGTGCGAAGCCTTCTGTATTCATCACTTCTCCTGCTCCTCAAGACAAGTTTGATGTGGGCTCAGTTTTTTTATTTAATATATTTTTCATTGATTTTAGAGAGGAAGGGAGAGGGAGAGATAGAAACATCAATGATGAGAGAGAATCATTGATCGGCTGCCTCCTGCAAGCCCCCTACTGGGGATCAAGCCCGCAACCCTGGCATGTGCCCTTGACCGGAATCGAACCCGGGACCCTTCAGTCGCAGCCGCCGCTCTATCCACTGAGCAGACCAGTTGGGGCAAGGTGGACTCAGTTTTTACTACAGTTTTATAAGAGAGTAAATGGATGCTTAGAAATATTCAGCAACTTGCCTGAGGTTGCCCCATCGGGAAGTAAAGGGGCTAGCACCCACACACCAGAATGCTCACCCTCAAAGTTCACGAGGAACATGGGGCTCAGAGAGGTTATTTAACTTGCCCAAACCTTTGCAACTAGTCCTCGAACCCCCAAACTAGGACTTTTCCTTCTCTAAGGTTAGCTCTCTAAAGCAGACTTCCTGGGAAGTTTTCCTGACAGGAGGGGTGGGTGGTGTGTGTGATGGGCAGGAAGCCCCTGGATAACTTTTGCGGGGTCTCCTGTGTTCTCTCTCTCAGATCCTGTCCCCGCTGGCCCAGGACTTGTTCCACAAAGCCATCATGGAGAGCGGGGTGGCCATCCTCCCCTACCTGAAGGCCCCGGAGGAAAAGCGGAATGAGGATGTAGGTAGATGTGCACACCTCTCCAGCTTCCTCTCCTTGGTCAGGTGTCGGCAGACCATGTGCTTGGCCTGACTGACCGTGACCAGAGAATCTGATGCCGACTTGAGGTGAAACGTGTTGCTCCATGGAAGGCCTGGTTCCGTAGGAAATGGGTCCAGCTGCACAGTGCAATGCTGCTGGTGTGCATGTGTGTGCGTGTGTATGTGTGTGTGTGACAGTTCTCACATTGTATCCATCAATCTTTGCTGTGATATATATCTTAGTCCCCTGTACCTACTCTATTCCACCTAGAGTGCTCTGGTGAGATTCTGATGCTGTTGCCAGCTCAGTAGGAAATAACACTGAATTGTTAATATTATCTGGCAGGAGATTGGAAGGGGGAGGGGAGGTGTATGTCCCAGATGTTCGACATCTGTCATCTCGTCTTTGCATTCTGCCGGTCAGTAAGCACCTGGAGACCGAGGCCCCTGTCTCTTCCATGTCCCAGCATAATGTCTGGTGTATGTTAGGTGACTCTACACGTTTACTCGAGGAATGAGTTCACGAATGAGCTGATTCATTGAATGAATATTAATGAAACAATGGGCTACGGAGCCATCTCCTGGGTATCATTCATGTTAGTGGTGCATTTCCTTAAACACCTTATAGAAGGTAACAACATACACCGAGAGCAAAAACAGAGTCATAATATTGCAAACACATGGTCACTGCAGACGGAAAATTGAGTTTGGTAACGTGATATATCAGGCTGGTGTCGGTGTGTGCGGTGTGGTGTGTATGCATTCATCCACCACACACATAGTGAGTGCCCATTGCTTCCCCGCTCTGTGTTGGGACCTGGGGGTTTATAAGTGGAGAAGGCATAGACTATAATCATTTCTATGATAAGGATTTCAAGCCTGCAACCCATGGGTATGTTTGGAGGTGGTCCTCAAACGCTTACGATATATGTTTGTGCATTTTCCCAGGGGGAGTGGCTGGGGTTTCCATTGGATTCTCAGAGCATCTGTGATCCCAGAAGACTAAGGGCACTACTTTCAGGGGGCGCATTCTACACGCGTGGAAAGTTCAGTGATAGGGCAAGAAGGTGTTTAGCAAAGGGCTAGGTAGGTGGGGGCCCTTGGGGTGACGGGAGATCGGAGGAGGAGGGGAATCGTAGGGACTGCCGTGTCTGAAAGAACATCCGAGAGAAGGTAGGACTTGGGTCTTAAAGAGTGAGACAGGAAAAAAGGACATCAGGGCATTCCAGGCTGGGGGTGAAGGTGAGGGTGAGGGTGAGGCTGGAGCAGAGCTGACCAGCTGAAACTCCGAGCTGGACTCAGGCCTCAACAGACCTTGCAGAGCTGCTCCTCTTCCTTGGGGGGCTCCTGACTCCACGTGGCACCCCAGCGTGGGGCTTCTGGGCTCTGTGGGGCCTAGTGCCAATGGAGCCGACGTCACAGGTCTGTGACATCACAGGTCCCGCCATGACCTGGAATCCTGACTCAATTCCATGGCCACAGACTGACAGATCCTCACTCCCAGCTCCTGCACTTGCTAAAGATGACGAGGAGGGTCAGGCGAGAGCGTCAGGATGGCCCGGGGCCAGCCTGCCCTCACTGTGTCCATTCCATGAGAATGGGGAGGGCCAGCAGGCCGGACGTCGTATAGGAAGGACGGGCCTGGGACTGGACTGAGGACTGTTTCCACGTTTCATTTTCCCAGAGGCTGTCCGTACTGTGCTCTAACCTGGTCCTTCTCTGCCACCAGTTGCAGATGATTGCAAATATCTGCGGCTGCAGAGCGGACAACTCCGAGGCCCTGCTGCGGTGCCTGAGGGCAAAGTCCTCCCAGGAGCTGCTGGGCATCGGCCAGGTGAAGGGTCTGGGGCAGGGCTGCCCTTTGAATGGAATGGTGGACAAACCTGACCGCTCTTATTTATTTTGACTTGGGACTTGGAAAGATATGGGGGCTGGGGATTCGTGGTAATGGCTGTAAAAACGTAGACTGTAGGTCATTTTAAAAATATATACGTTTATTGATTTCCGAGAGGAAGGGAGAGATAGAAACATCAATGATGAGAGAGAATCATTGATTGGCTGCCTCCTGCACGCCATCTAGTGGGGATCAAGCCTGCAACCTGGGCACGTGCCCTGCCTGGGAATCGAACCGTGACCTCCTGGTTCCTAGGTCGATGCCCAACCCCTGAGCCACGCCAGCTGAGCTGCAGGGTTTATTTTTTAAAAGTTGGCTGGACTGTACTCCCAGAGCTTGCATTCAGCAGGGAATTTGCATTTCTAACAAGTTCGCAGGTAACACTGATGCTGCTGGGAGCCAGGCTTTGAGAACCACTGGGCTAGGCTACCGTTTCTCTTAAGTGGATGCTATTGTTACCCCTTATTTGCAGATGAAACTAAGGCACAAAGACGCTGACCCCCTTGACCAGGCAGCCGGATGTATGGGGATGGACCAAGACTGGCTTCATTTCCCTTTCCTACCACATTTTGCTAGCGTGGGTGGGCTCAGGGTGGGTTGGTTTGGGGCCAGCAGATTTTACAAACAGAGACAGCTTCCGCCCTTTCTCATTTCAGGTCGCCAAGTCTTTCACGCGAATGGTTGATGGTTTTTTCTTTCCTGACGAGCCTCTAGAACTGCTGATTAAAAAAACGTTCCGCTCAGTTCCTTCTATCATCGGGGTCAATAACCACGAGTGTGGCTTCCTGCTGCCCATGGTAAGAATCCCGACTCTGCCTCCTGTCGCTCCCTCCTCAGAGGGGCCGGGGTTTGCTCCCACAGCCGGTCACTCCCACGGACGGCACACGCGTTGTGAGGGATGGACCCCATCCGCTGAGCACAGAGCGGTCGTCCTTCCTCTCTCTGAAGGAAGGTAACTGGGGGTTGGGGTCAGCCAAGGCAGGTGTCCGCCCTGTTCCTCGATAGGTTTGCGGTGAAAGGAACAACTCTGTGTAAAACACTAAGAGACAATGGGGTCCGCTTGAGCTCTGTTCAAAACACCACAAATGCTCGTTTCAAAGAAGCATAGTTCCTACTTCGAAGGTATTGAAATCCATGACACCTTCCTGTTCTGGCATTTGGCTGTCCAAGAATGCTCCCTAAGCTGGTGCACCGGTGCAAGCTGCAAAATCATCGACTCCTTTCATTCATCCCACGAGAAT